CCCCCCCCCCCCCCCCCCCTTCCCTCCCTCCTCCCTCCCCTCGAACGCCTCTCTGCAGGACTGATCGTCTGGCAGCTTCCTGCCTGGTGCAGCTTAGATTGGATGATGCATGCGGCGAAATATGCTAACGTTGACGAGTCGAGTCAAACCAAGGTGAGAGAGAAGGAGGGAGGAGGTGCAGGAAGGTGGTGTAGCTCAAACAATCTGTAAAATTCTGCCAGGTGTACTTCATCGATCCTCCCGTATTTGTTGAAGGAAGTAAGATTGGGATGATGAAGACAACGATAGAAACGTGACGTGCTCTTTGAACTGACAATGTACATACTGTAAACTTGATAGAAACACAGAATCTTTTGTTTCAAGATGATGTAACTTTACATGTCGACTGGAGAAAGTTGCTGGAGGTCCTAAATCGTTGTCATCATCATCATCTTCGTCGTCGTCAATGACGTTGTCTCCATCATCATCATCATCATTATCATCATCATCATCATCATCATCATCACCTCAATCATCATCTCAATCATCACCCTCAGTCAAAACGTCCACGTATGACATTCATTGTCTTTGCAGTTCTCTTCATTCTTGTCTTATCATTGTAACTAGACGCATGTTAAAATCTCGACGACAAGAATCCTCGTCCTTCATCTTCACATGACCGACTCCCTCGACGGATCTCGCACAGGATGAGGCGCCAGCGCTTCTTCGTAGTCCGGCCAGTAGCTGTCCTTGAGCCCCTTGTACCTGGACGAGCGTTGGATGCCGAGCGAGGAGAGGAGAGTAGATGAGGGGAGGGGAGGGGAGGGGAGGGGAGGGGAGCAGAGAAGAGGAGCGAAGAGGAGGAGATGGGTGCAGAGCGAGAGCGGAGAGCGGAGAGAGAGGAGAGCAAAGGAGGAGCGTGCGTACCACTCGATGGTCTTGGTCAGCCCCTGGCTCCATTCCACCTACGAGGAGGTCAAACCAGACAAGCAGGAGCTGCTCACGTCACCTCCGGCCTCCACCCGAGATTCTGCAGCCTGCAGGCCACAGTCAGTCACGTCACAGGGCGTAGAGTCCAGCACAGCCCCGACTGTCGCGTCTGGGGGATCGACATGGTCGCTTATGAGTTGTCACTTAACTTTGACACCTCACAAGACGAGGAGAACAACGAAAGGCACACAACATCAACATCAACATCAACATCAACATGTATCTCCATCGTTCAGCCTCCTTCCACATCTTCTCCTCCTCCTCCTCCTCCTCCTCCAAGCACAACAGCTCACTTGGTGTCGTTGATGGCATAGCGAAGATCGTTGATGTTACGATCGTGCACGTGCTCAACCAGCTGAGACAGCAGCAGGTCAGCGCAATACCGTCAAGATGACAAACAAGGGCAAACCTCTCCCTCAGATCCAGCTGGGCGGAGACCCTGAGGCAAGATCAGGTCAGGAGGAGGACACAAGGGGAGGACTGACGGAAGGAGGGAGGAAAAGAAGGAGAGGAGAGGAAAGGGAGAGGAGGAGGAGGAGGGAGGAAAAGAAGGAGAGGAGAGGAGAGGGAGAGGAGGAGGGGAAGGGGAGGGGAAAAAGGAGAGGAGTGGAGAGGGAGAGGAGGAGGGGAAGGGGAGGGGAAAAAGGACAGGAGTGGAGAGGGAGAGGAGGAAAGGAAGGAGAGGGAAAAAAAAGGAGAGGAAGGAGAGGGGGAAAAAGGAGAGGAGTGGAGAGGGAAAAAAGGAGAGGAAGGAGAGGGGAAAAAGGGGAAAAAGGAAAAAAAGGAGAGCGAGGAATGAGAGGAGGAGGGGAAGGGGAGGGGAAAAAGGAAAAAAAGGAGAGCGAGGAATGAGAGGAGGAGGAGTAGGAAGCATACCAACTCGCGGATGAGCTGGTGAGCGAGCTCGATCATGGAGATCTCAAAAGGGGATCCGATGTTGTAGGCCTGCGGGGCAGCAGGCTGGTCAGCCTCCCTACTCACCGCATCCCCCCGGCTCCTCTCCTCACATGGAAGGGTTCTCCACGGTGGAGGATGACGTCGAAGGCGCGAACAACGTCGTCGACGTGGATGTAGCTCCTGCGAGCCTCGCCCTTGCCGTGGATGCAGCACTTCTTGCCTCGGAGCAGACGCAGGATGAACTTGGGGATGACTTTCTCCGGGTACTGGGCGGGGCCGTACACGTTGTTTCCTCTCGTGATGATGACGGGGAGCTTGTAGGACTTCATGTATGCCTTGGTGATGAACTCAGCAGCAGCCTTGGAGCACGAGTAAGGGTTCGTGGGTTCCAACATGGCGTTCTCCTCCACTCCGTCTCCCAGAACGTCTCCGTAGACCTCGTCCGTTGAGACGTGGATGAACCTCTTGATCTGCCAGCATCGATCAGCAGCTGAAGTTAGGGCGGGGACTGCCAATGTGCCAGAGGACGAGGACGAGGACGAGGACGAGGACGAGGACGAGGACAACAGGAAGGAGGGAATCAACTCAGAGAACATAGCAACGAGGCAGAAGCAAGCCCACGTACAAGTGCACATACAAGTACATAATGAACATTCACAAACACTCAATTCCAACACTGACGGGGGAGTAGAAGCAGCACAACGAGAAGCAGAGACAGGAGGAAGCGAAGGAGGAAGCGGAGGAGCAGGAGGAGGAGGAGGAGGAGGAGAAGCAGGAGGAGGAGGAGGACCTCGAATCGACGAGCGCACTCTAAGAGGGTGTGCGTGCCAAGAACGTTCGTCTGAGTGTGAGCCAGGGGGTTACCGAAGGATGCGTCGACATGGCTCTGGGCGGCAAAATGCATGACGGTGTCGATCTTGTGGAACTCCATGAGATGTGAGACGAGGTCGAAGTTGCAGACATCTCCGCGGCAGAACGCGTAGTTAGGAGCAGAGGAGACTTCGGAGATGTTGTTCACAGAAGCACATCTATCGAGCACATCGAGGTTGACGAAGCGTACTTCTGGGTACTTCTTGACCAGTGCCTTCAACACGTGGCTGCCAATGAAGCCGCATCCTCCCGTGAACAGAACGCTCTTCGGCTTGTACTCCATCCTGCAAAGCTTTCAACGCACTCAAGGAAGAACTACACTCCTCTCGTGCACGGTCTTCTCTCAAACAATTTTCTGACGTTTCCCCCTACCACCGACCAGCCTTGCCCCTTACGTGTAGTCGGGTATACCCCTTATCATCCTGCTCTCTCTATCCTTCTGTAGCTTGCTTCACTCTCCTTGTATCCTATCCTCCTCTTCTTTTCTCGCACATTGTTAGCCCTCATAAATCCTCGCGTTCAAAAGTCATCACCATAGTTTCCTTTTCCTCGCCTGCCTTGCCCTGGACCTCATATCTTCTTCCTCATCCTCTTGCTCTTCCTCTGCCCATGATCATCACTGCCATTCTCCTCCTCATTTTCTCCTTCCTCCCTCCTCCTTTCCTTCTTCCCTTCCTGTCTCGCTTCTTGCATGGTCACCCCAACTGCTTGCAAGAACCCATCGTCACCCTACCCCACATTTATTACCCCACACCCCCTCTAAATCAATATACTATCAGATTACCCATCAAAATACTATGAAAAACGCCGGTGAGAAATTGTAAATGAGTACCCCTACCTCATAGAAATATCACCCCACCGTACCGAATCAGCTCACCCTGACGGGCGAAGTCCTACTACCCCACCCTACCTTTTTCCACAATGTCGTTTGTGAACCCGTCCAATTCAAAGAAATCACCTGGGAATGTACCCACCTAAAGTACCCCTGATTTTGGTGACCCCCTCGTTTCCCACTTGGACGTGATCCTGCTGGGAGTACCTCTACCCCAAGTTTACCCTGCAAACTACCCCTCAACTTCCAACCACCTCAAATGATGTACCACTACCCCTCCATTTTCCAGAAAGTACCCCTACCCATCACACATGGATCGCTTTCGACTCTTGCCACCTCATCTGGCAGACTACACCACCGACTACACACCCCACCTACTCAATTACCACCTCTTAATACGAAAAATAGGGGGTAGTCCATGCGCCCCCCGACTGAGCGGCTTCGGAAGTAGTCTCATCAGCTGCGATCGGACCGTCTTCATTTTCAAGTCATCAGTACGAGGACAATCAGGAGAGTCGACTGGAGCCCGCCGCCGGCTCGGAGAGTCAGACGGCCTGAAACCGAGCCTGAGGAGATAGACAGCCTCGGATCGGACAGCCTGACAGACAGACGGCTGAGCCTGTGACAGCCTCGGACAGACAGACAGACAGACCGTCGGCCCGACAGACAGACCGTACGGTCCGATGACGGAATACAAGTTTGTTAGACTTGTACTAGTCCAAAGTCACGCAGACATCACATCGACCTTAGTTGTAACAAGACAGTTTTTGCTCAAGACCGACTCGCGAGTTTAATGCACACAAAACCAGAATTGAGGAGCACATGAGAGATAGACTGTATGCTAGGATGTGAAACCCAAGCATCCAGACATGAGAGGACCTTACTGAGCAAGACGGCTAGGAAAGCCCCCTCGTAAGTCGTCTTGGTTTACAGGAGAGTTTTGTTAACTCGGCACTATCTGACTAGACAGACCGTACGGTCGGACGCCGCTGTGACAGCCTGGCAGACAGACAGACAGACAGAGAGCCTGGCAGAGCCTCTCCGAGAGAGATCGGACCGTCGGACAGCCTGCCCGGCTGAGCGGCCTAAGTTCGGTTCAGACAGAGAGACAGCCTGGGAGAGACGGCAGGAGACCGTGGCAGAGAGACAGAGACTGCCTGACGGTTGGGGTGGCTGAGGGCCTCGGAGCAAGCCGGGAGCAAGGGAGCAAGCCTTGAAGGGAGCAAGAGGCTTGCCAAGTTGCCATGACTCAGTGAAGGGACTGGAGCCGCACTCAGTCACTGAGGGAGCAGATGACTCGGCCCGGGGGCCGCCGGCGCCGGACCGTGGGCCGTACCGTGACGGCGGCGCGGCGCGCTGCCTACGGTCCTCAGCTTGTGACGGTCACAGGCGGCTGACCCGGCAGTGGCAGCCTCGGCCGGGTACCGGGCCCGGGGACTCAGGCTCGCAGTGACGCCCGGCCCCCGGTGGCCGGGCCGGGTTGGCCGGGCCGGGCCGGCCGCGGCGCCGCGGCCCCGCCGGGCCATGACATACACTCGGAATATTTTAGTTAACTTGGGATGGTTGGTGCGAAGAGGCGACTGAGATGGCGACGTTGGAGGGAGGGAAGTAGAGGAGAGTAGGAGAGAATGTAGAGCGAATGGCGCGACAAGAGTAGATGAGGAGATCAGGAGAGGGGAAGAGGGGAAGAGCGGGGAGGAAACAGAACATGGAACAGAGGAAGGGACAATGAAGAAGGAAAGGGAGATACAGGTTTGAGCGGGGGAGGATTAAGTGAAACGATGACGGGAGAGATGAGCGAGAACGATCACTTCCGTTGGGTATACAAACATTGTTGTCTCATGCTTGTACAGATCGAAACAGACCGTCCGATGTTCCACACACGTAAGTTCAGCAGTGCTTGACAGGTAGTCCCAACACAGCTGCTCCTTTGGTGTTGATTGTGTATGCTCAGGAGCATCTACTTGTCGAATTTCCTTGGGGTTGTATCACCAAGTGATGTTGCATATCTTTGCACCCTCATGCACTAACAAGGCCATTCAAGACCTCAAGATGAAATATTGTTTTCTTCTCCTCTTAACGCTGCGTTTTGCTTCCAACGTGGCTGCTCAGGTTGTGTTGAGTTGCAAACAGTCAGCAAGAATTGATGGATGATGTCTACAGAGATTTGTGGACACGTCGTTCAAGGTGATCACCTCCAAAGGGAACTTGAGTACGCTCGGCACCCCCCAGGTTGGAAGTGAAACCTGACATGGGAATGCCGCTGACTTGATCGAAAGAACGGAACGTATTTTAACCGCACCTGCTCCATCTCATCCTCCGATACTCTTGACTGCTCGTTCCCTACCAATCCCCTACCTCCTCTTCTAAAAAGGGGTGAGGAGAGCAGCTGGGTTGTAGCTGGAAGTGACTTGGCATGGCAGGCGATTATGAATGCCCGCAATCTTCCATCTGTTTTGTGGTGGCCGCGTACGGTGCAAGCGGGATCAAGTTCTCATTATCGAACGAGCTGCTTCAACAGGTTCAGTTGCAGGTGTGCTGTGATGAGACACTCTACATTATCCGTGTGATAACTTCAACAGAATGTGCAAACACAAATACAACAGAAGCTTCCCGGGCAAGAGCCGAACCCTACTGATGGAAATCTGATTATCTATGAGTTTGCGATCTTGTAAGCGCTTTGTTTTCCTGACTGTTTCATGATCTTTGGATTTGCTTGCAGCCCGCAGCAGCAATTCCTTCAACCGTACAACTTGAAAATATTCTTTGAAACCGTTCCGTTTAAAGAAAGGTGTCTGATCCAACAAACCGTTGCTTCTTGTGATTTCTTGATGTAGGAGATATGTCAATCTCTATTACGGCTCTCCTCCGTACAATATCCAGGTAATGGACAAGTGACAAGTGCGATGAATTTTACTATCATTGTTCAGTTTTCGCAAGTGACCGGCCCGTTCATACCGATCAGCAGCATGACAACTGCTCCATTTCAAAGCATTCAAGGTTTGTCATGGAGCAGTGGGTCCTTGAAGAGCTAATGCATCCTTATTGTTTGCTGGCGACAGTCCGTATCCGCGTGTCTCACCACAGTTTCTACGACAACGTCACCATTGGGGGACCGGAGCAAATAAGTATGATCTCGTTCATTTCGGTTCTGGTTGACTTGTGTGGGTTTCTTTCTCCGTGGTATCGTTTCTCTCGTGGGCATGCATTGTTTCGTCAGGCGGCCAGGTTGGTCTCGAGCGAGCTTGCGTCTTGTGTCCTGACAGCATCTGCAGAGCGTGAGCTTGTACTTGAATGGAACATATGGGAATTTCTCGTGGCGGACGTCGACGATGTGCGTCGGTGGCATACAATCGGATGGAAAATGCCCTGATGGGGTAGAGCTATTGAGTCTCCCTGGACAACTTGCGCTCTGACCATGCTGATTAGCTTTGGGAACGCCAATTTGCATTCAAGCCTCAGTTGTCAACCTACACTCTTGTAACCGAATCCTCTTGCGTGACGAGCTCGAGCTCATGTGCTCTACAGAGCTTCGGCCAGTCCAAGTTTCCTCAAGGGATATACTCGACATACCTTTCTCAAAGTCCCTTCAACGTTGCAACCTCGAAGGACTTCGTTGTGCAAGCAGATCTCAAGGTGAAGGGAGTGCGTGAAATCGGCTCTGTCTGACGCAGTTGGTAGTTATCAAGTTTCATTGACTCGATCCTTCAAAACAATGGTACACGATAGGGACTCTCAGCCCACGAGGGTCCGACTGTTTCCCTTGTATTGATCTTGCACAAAGATCCTCAGTTCAACGACGAGGTTCGACTAGCCTTTGTAAATTGCCCAATGAAGACGGTACGTCTAAGTTTTTTTGCCTGCACGACCTTGCTGAAGCTGTCTCAGATGACGTTGTATGCTATTACTGCGGTGAGTTTGTTTTGGTAAGATGTGAAATACCTGTTTGTATTGAGCACCTTTCGAAACAGGCCCTGAATGTGACTCAAACCTCCAACCCTGGAACAGTCTTTGTTGTTTCGTCTGTGAGAGCTTGACCTTCTGCAAGTGTGCGAGATTTTGAAAATCCTGCAGGTCGCAATAAAGGTTTCAGGGAAGTTAGTGGAAGGAGCCATAGCGGTTCCAACGTAGGGTGTGCCTGTACTGTGGGAAGTTTGTTCACTCCTTTTCAGGTTTCAAGCGAGGTACTCAGCAATGGATGCCAGCAACAAGTTTGACTCGGTAAAATTTGACGTGAAATTATCTCTCATGAACTTACTCCCTTCACCCCACAGCCTCAGGTGCCTTGATCGCCTTCGACCCTCGTTAAATGTCTCGAACTGACAATGATCATAACAGTACGGCAAAATGACGGTAGACTGGACACCGCGACAGGGGCAGGTAGACCGAGTGAAGTTGTGCAGTAGCAAACTGACGAGCGAATCGTTACAGGAAGGATACACCTACAACTTCTGCTTCAATGTGACCCACCCAGTCACTCACTTTTCCAACATCAGGTCCCGACCGACCTCATGGCGTGCCGTTGGGCTGACTTGACCCGTCAGGTGTCTTGGTGTGAAGGTGGTGAGGTGCCAGTATTGTACGCTCCAGGCCGATACCCTCCTGGTGGGATTCACGCGTTTACTGGCACTGATCCCCATCGACCGCTGACGAGAGTTCCCCACAGAAAGTAGCGACAAAGTTTCACACAAACTGGCTCCAGCTGTGGTCAGCAAACAGTGAGCCAGGTGAAGCCGTTGGAAACTCCCCCGACTTGTCGCTCACTGTCGTCTCAGTCTTCCCCATCGATTCGCCGAGCCAGTTCCCGTTGGACATCTCGAACCTCCAGCCACAGACTCGCATCACCTTGGGGCCGACGTACGTGACCAAGGTGAGCGAGCGAGCAGGAGGGCTGGGCTCCCCTTACGCTCCTATAGGTCTTCGATGACCTCCCTGGAATTGCTGCGAGGTTTCAAACGACCGTCGACCGACTGCTTGAGGTGAAGCCTCCTCTTCAGCCATCTCCTCTCGATGAGCTGCGCTGCCCGTCACTACCACCAGCCCGCTCCTCCTCCTCTTCCTCCTCCCTCTTCCTCCTCCTGCCTTCCTCCCTCCCTTAGCTCTTCCTCCTCCTCCTCCTCCTCCTCCCTCCTCCTGTGCTCCTTCTCGTGTGAACTTCTTTCAGGTCAACCCAGACATCAATGCCAAGGTTCAAGCCCCCATGGATCGAGCTGGAGCTCCGATCCTGCCGTCCCTGTCGATCGGGCAGGAGGTGTCGCTCTCGTTTCTTCCCCTTGCGCGTCTTACCTGCTTCCAGGTTTGCGTCATCCCACCGATTTGCCCCCAGCCGCCCTAGACGGGAACTTCAACGGTTCCCTCCTCCCTCCTGTATAGATCGAGCAGCTTCTGTCTCGACGTAAGTTAAGTTAGCGACCCCCTTAGCATTCGCCCCTGACTAGCAGGGAACATCCTGTTACAATATTCATCCAACGAGTAGATCAGGCTCTGAAACCTGTTGTGTGCTGCCTTCGCTTATTTCCTCAATATGGATCGGAGCCTTGAGTTCGGGCCCGGGACGACTCGCCAGTCAACGTACTAGTACTGACTGAGTACTGACTCCAACTTAGCTTTGGGCAGATGGAGACTCCGACTCCGATCATTCTGTCATCGCTGATCACGGCGCCGAGTCTGGGCAGCCGGGGTCCGGGCCCGGCGACCGGGCCCGGGGCAGGCGTGGCCGGCGGTCAATCATGCGGCTCTACCCGGTGGGGCGAATGTAAGGGTTGACTTTTTTTTCGAATTTTTTGGGAGACGGTTGAAAATTTCATGGCGGGCTCTTGCTTGCGGCGAGCGATCAAGGGGAAGAGTGTGAGGGCGAGAAGGAACCAGCCGCTGCCTCCTCTTGCTCCTTGACCAGCCTGCCATCATCCTCTGTTGACCGATTCACATCCTCACTCCTTCCCTGGCTCCTCTTCGAGCTTCAGTCAGTGCCTGCTGTTGCTGTTGAGAAGGGAACATGAGCGTCTTGCGAAGAGAAGGCTCTGAGAGCAGAGCTAGTGACGTGTGGAAGGAAAGCCATGCCTCCAAAGACGCCAAAGAGCATCTGGACATCGGAGATCCGGGAAGGTCGACGGATCCGAGTGGGGAGCTGAGATCACCATTGAAGGAGAAGGGGGTGAAAGCTGAGATCGCAGCAGAAGTTCTGCTGCTAAGAGGGAGGGTGCTGTCGAGTTTGCCTGTGAAGAGATGCTTCAAGTTGTTTGTGGGAGGGTACGCCGAAGACTTCGCCATGGAGAGGACGAGGCTGCACATGAATGTGTTCCCAAGGCTGTACGCGTGAGTTTCTGTGGTGCGGCATAGCTCCACCATTCTTAGACTTGTTTGCGCAGGTTCTGCATGGAGTCAGGGATAGACTTCGATGTGGTGGACATGATGCATGGCGCTAACGACCTCCTTCCTCCAGAGCCAAACTTCGCTCAGGTCTGCTTGCAAGAGGCCCAGGACTGTCTCGACCATTCTACAGTAGGGTTGCGGTACTTGGCCATGGTGGGGAACAAGGTGGGGCACGTTCCGTTCCCCGCGAAGCTGTCGAAGCATGCCTTCACAGACATCATCAACATCGTCAACGAGGAGGACAAGGAGCTGTTGAGAGCCTGGTACCTGCCCGATGAAGACAGCTACCCGCTCTACTACAAGTTGCAAACGCCTCTGTGTGCTGCTGAAGAGATAGCAAGAGGTGCTGATATCGAGGATCTCGGGCCCGAAGACAAGCTGAGAGCCTTCACAAACTATCGGGCAGTCCAGCAGTCGCTGCGGAGGATCTTCCTGCAGGCCGTCCAGCTGCTTCATGTCAGTGACTACAACAAGTGCCTGCTGCAGAGTGAGCTGGAACTGTTCCTGGAGGGGAAGAGCGGCGGTCAAGGCAGCGTGATGAGTTTGCGGTACATCCGAGGGATCAACAACAAGGACGGAAGAGCCAAGATCTACAAGGATCTTGAGAAGGACGGGCTGGACAGCAGCTGGACTGCCTATATAGACTGGATCCACCAGAATCGAGCTCAGCAGCTGCTGGGGTCGGGGAAGCAGATAGTGAGGTCGACGATCAACTGGACCCCCTTTGGCGTGACCGACTTCAACGAGCAGCACAAGGTGAGCAGCAGCAGCAGCAGCAGCAGCAGCAGCAGCAGCAGCAGCAGCAGCAGCAGCAGCAGCAGCAGCAGCAGCAGCAGCAGCAGCAGCAGCAGCAGCAGCAGCAGCAGCAGCAGCAGCAGCAGCAGCAGCAGCAGCAGCAGCAGCAGCAGCAGCAGCAGCAGCAGCAGCAGCAGCAGCAGCAGCAGCAGCAGCAGCAGCAGCAGCAGCAGCAGGTTGATGCATAGAAATCTAATTTGGGGGGCAGGCCTACTTGGAAGGAATCGAGCAGAACTTGTTTCAGTTACTTCAGGAGAGCATAGAGATGGACTTGAAGATGAAAAGCTCAGTAAGCTCTCCCTCTCCCTCTCCCTCTCCCTCTCCCTCTCCCTCTCCCTCTCCCTCTCCCTCTCCCTCTCCCTCTCCCTCTCCCTCTCCCTCTCCCTCTCCCATGCTCCTGCCTCCTCTCCCTCTCCCTCTTCCTCTCCCTCTCCCATGCTCCTGCCTCCTCTCCGCTTCTTCTTCATCCTCCATAATCTCCTCCTCTTCCATCTTCTCCTCCTTACTTCCGCTCTCTTACTCGCTTCTTCTTCAGAACTTTACACCAGATTATGTCGACTTTATCCAAGAGGTTCGCAACCATTCCGTTCACGCTGCCCGGCTCGCCTCCGGCTGCTTTCCCGTCCCAGAGTTTGAAACCTTGATGGGCATGCTGACAAAAACAAATACAACAAACACAGGTTACCCCTCTCCTCTCCTTCCTTCTCCTCTCCTTCACTTTCCTCTCGTCTCCTGTCCTCTCCTCTCCTCTCCTGTCCTCTCCTCTCGTCTCCTCTCCTCTCTTGTCCTCTCCTCTCCTTTCCTCTCCTCTCCTCTCCTGACTTCTCCTCCAGGTGAAAGCAGCCCGATCTTCCTCGTCGGCCCTCCAGGGTCGGGCAAGTCGACCATCCTTGCCTCCCTTGCCTCCCGTCTCTCAGCCTCCTCCTCCACCTCCACTCAGTCTCCTCGCTACGGCTCCGTCTTCGCTTCCTCCAGCGACCTCTCCCCCTTCGGCAACATGGACGAGGAAGGGAGGACCCAGCTGGTCATCAGCAGGTTTGCCAACATCTCCCAGCAGTCGCAGTCAGCTAGGGGCCTGCTGGGGGGGATCTTACAGCATCTTAAGATATGCCTGAACCTGTTCCTGGACGGCTGCTGGGAAAGTCAGTCGGTGAAGGAGTTTATGAGCAGAGAGCTGGAGCAGGAGCCGTATGAGACTCTCCTGCTCTACTTCCCCTTGTGCCTCAGAGAAGCTGCACAAGTGGTTCGTTTGCTACCCTACCTCCCTCCCTCCCTCCCTTCCCTCCTCCCTCCCTCCCTCCCTGTCAATCCTGCATCATTCCTTTTCTCCATTCATTTACCAGGCCATTAGGACTGTGTTTCGCCTCCTCCTCTATCTCCTCTCCTCCTCCTCTCCTCCTCCTCTCCTCCTCCTCCTCCTCCTCCTCCTCCTCCTCCTCCTCCTCCTCCTCCTGCTCTCACTTCTTCTCAGTTCAACCTCATCATCCTGGTCGAGGGGACCGACGAGTTCTCAACGGAACACCACCCAGAGAAAATCTTCGAGTGGGTTCCCAGCAGAATCCCAGCTAACGTCAAATTGGTGGTGTGTAGAAACTGCTGAAAA